CCAAATGGATGTAGACGCTGCCAAGCAGTGGTCGTTGGACTGGCACCTTCTTCTGAATGATGAAAAGTGCGTCCATATGTCATTTGGAGGAGACTCAGCGAATGCCTTTGTTATGCATGGTGAGAAAGGACCAGAAAACATCATGAGGATATATGCCAAAAAGGATTTGGGCATCTGGGCCTCTTCAAACATGTCCTTCTCACTACACCATGAGAAATCGGCCCAAAAGGCATTCGCCGTTTTACGGATGATCCGACGCACCTTCTCCCGTATAACTCGCATGGACTTCCAAATACTATATGGGGCCTACGTCAGACCGCTCCTGGAGTACGCCAACCAAGTTGTCCACTCAGAACGCACGAAAGACGTTACCCTCATTGAGCGTGTCCAGCAGGCCGCCACGAGAATGGTTGCCGGCCTCAAATCCGTGGACTACGAAACGCGTCTCGCGATGCTTGATCTCCTTCCCCTGGAGTACCGTCGCCTCCGAGGGGACCTAATTCTTTCTTATGCCGTTTGAACAATGCTTGGCAAAAAGGTTTTTCATCCGGCGGGGACATAGTAAGAAAATTTTCAAGCCCAGAGCACACACAGTCATTAGACAAAATTTTTTCTCATTTCGGGTAGTAGGTGCGTGGAATGACCTTCCTCCGACGGTTGTCCACGCTCCTTCTAGAACCCAGTTTAAAACACTATTAGACAATTATTTATGCGAATCCTCGCGCTGGCAAGCATACCGCCCCGCGCTGAGGACATAAAGAACAGTGCTACACCCTTTTTTCACTTATGCCTTTCAGGTGAATGACAGCCACTGAACGACAAGAACAAGACCGACCCGGGAAACTTGGGCAAAAGCCTCGATCCTGTGTATCAATCCGTGAATCCGTGAATCCGTGAATACAATAAGTAGTCATCTGCACGTGAAATATGATTGAAATTTTCCTTTTTGTCCTTTTACGACGTAGTTTAGTATCTTTTCTACTTTCGCGCCGTTTTGTGCGTAAGGAAAGCCTGACTCACGATATAGATCTGGGAACTTTAGCATTGGCAGTCGTGGAAATTTAGAATTTCAGCGGAGAATTTCCTCCGGGGCGGGTAAAGTTTGTGTAGACTAGAGTGGACAAATTCAACTAAAGACCCCTGATCTCTTCTGTTCTCCGGTTTTCCGTGTCACTGTCTAGAAAAAATAGACGGACAAACGTGGGATAAACACCTGAATAACAGTGCTGGTGAAGGTGTTCTCAAAATGCAGAGCTCACTAGCATCTTTATATGGTGAATTACCGAAACTTTCCACTTCGTGCTGTGACCGAAGTAAAATTCACACTGAAGAACATATCAAACGATGTCAAGTATTCTTCACAGAAAATCATTCACTAGACTCCCGATTCCCTGATCTTATTGATATCCACGATAAAAACTGGTGTTCAACCGCGGGAACGCATTTCAGTGATTTACAATTCAGAAAAGATTGCACTCGGGTGGACAAAGTTAGAGAGCGAGTCCCAGAAATCCTACCAGCTCAGACAAAATATGCCGTCGTTCTTGCTCCGGGCGCCACAAAACAAGGAAATCATTTAGAAAACCAGCATGGTGCACCATTCCGGCTCCTTTTTGAGACCAGCACATTAGATCTCCCACACCAACGGTAAGTTATGCATACCCTGTTCCAGTGCACTGTTCACATTAAGTGCATAATTTGCGGGCGCCCCAACGTTTGATTACACGGTCCATAAAACCATGAAGGCAGTTGGAGTATTAGATAAGTCGAAGTGTACGGCTTAGAAACTGTGTGCCGGTTGAATACAGAGTGCAGTATTTTCCCATTCTTTATTGTGTCTTAGTTTGTCAGTGTTCAGACGCGACGCGTAGGGTAATGAATCACTGGGCTTCGCCGGATGCACTGATTAAATTGTCCACCAGTAAAAACAAAACAACTTCCCCTTTGCGAGGGCCTTAAGACTACAGTAACACAAGAAAGACAACGGACACCTTCCGCTTCTTGCTTAGTGACTGAGTGGTCGAATGAATACGGAAGAAGTGACTGACATCGTCGAGATTTCCCCTCGCTAATTTGGTCAAATTTGCCGGGGCTGGGATATGGTCTTTTTAGAAATCTCGTCGACTCTGTTATGCAAGCGTAAATCCAATGTTTGTCCACCCATTTTCGCCAGAAAATGACATGGAAAACCGGAAAAAAGAGGCTTTTAGGGGCCTTTGAGTGAATTTGGTTCACACAAACTTCACCCGCTCGTTGTTCTCCTTGTCAGCAGTAATTCCGTAACTGACTTAAACACCATCCACCATCATGGATACTGAGTTTTTCTGGCGCATGGTTAAAAGTGAGGGATAGTATTGAAAACTTACCATGTTTTTTAAATGAACGGCTGTTGGGTTTGCATAGTCCGTCAATAAAATAATTCCCGGGAGTATCAGCAAAAGATTTTGGGTTGCAGTTTGCCCTTTGGGGTCTCCAGGAACACAATGGCTAATCTGATAGATCTCTTCAAAACCGTAATAGCTGAATATTTATCACCAGAAGGATTTTGTCTAAGTGATTCGTACATAATGTCTGTTTCAGAATTTCTTCTCCACTGGTGGTAAACGAATTTTTCTGTTTGCCATTTAATAGGGGTCATGGCCTAATCCCTTCTTTTTGGTAACATCTAAATTATGTACCTCCAGTTTTGTCTTCATTCTTTGAGTGAGCCTTGATAAGCAATTTAAGGTGATGGTGGCTGAGTCTGTGCGGTTCATGCAAACACTCCGGAATACCTTCAGCATTCCAGTTAGGTCATGGTACATTACCTGTAACAGCAAACGGAACCTATCCATCGGCATCCAAAACTACAATTTGCGCTACGAGGGTAAAGTACCACATACTAACTGTCAACCAACCACACGTTTCTGAGAACAGCTTTGTCATGGGCCAAAACTTGCATTTTTAGATTGCTTTCAAAACGCGATCCCCTTTTTCTATTCCACTCAGCAACGCTCTCCCCACTCCCTTACCTGAATAATCCAAAATTCATACGATCATGGCTAAGCTCAGAGCCTATCTAAATAGGATGAAACGCTAAATAGCTTCCTTCTAAGTCATACAGCAATTAAGTTTCTTGATTACTGACGCACCATGCGATCCGTCAAATTCCAAAACACGGCACTTCTGATTGAAGCGTTATCCCCTGCGATTTGTCAGCTTTTGGACTGCCTTCACCTGATCGCATCCCATTTGAGCTCACACCAACTGCTCTCTTGACGGCATGTAGCATGCACAATTCGACGACTCTAAAAGTTGATAACGTCCTTGCATTGCCAAAATGAACGCAATTCGGGGAAGAAATTGATGTCGTACGTCTACTGGATTCGCAGACAATCCTCTCCTCTACCTTAAAACTATAAACCATGAAGGCTTCAGCTGTTCGTACTCGACTGCAGAAACAGCTTACCAAACCCCCACCACCTAAATCCCTAAAATCAACAACCGGAAACGGTCAAATGGGTCCCTCTTACCTCCATCTATCTAAAGCAATTGGGGCCGTCGGCGTCATTCAGTCGCAAACTTCAAATACAACCAACCACGTGAGCAACTACGCAAGTCGGATCGCCGTTCGCGCAAGCGCAGCAACAGCTGAAATGGCTGATCGACCTGGCCGTTTATGCACGAGCACCAGATTTCGTCGGACTTCAACCGCCTCAGACAACACTGAAACTGGTTTTAGGCCAGTCGGACGTCCAACTCGCCCTGATAATGCTGAAGGTGACATGTTATTCCCAATCTCCCAAAACCACTTCACTGTCCCCTTGAGGTCTTCATACTGTAACGCTGAATAGTACTTTCGCGCCACACAAATCATCCCGTCGGCTCCAGGCCGCAACCCCCTCATGATCATGAGCTGTCCACTTCCACCACTAGGGGGCCACCCATGTGAGCCTCGACCTCCATTACGCCAACACGACTGAACGTTGATGTAACAGATGCTGTACCTCATCAGCCCAGACCTGAGGCTGCGGTCAGGGATGATAGCACAGGTTCTTTCCTCACACCCGCTGGCTTAATGACACTCCGACTCCACACCGGAAAGCTTCCTCAAGATCAAACGCCAAAGCCCCATACCATAATGACATTGAGGTGGCCGTCATAAAGAATTAATCGACCCAGTCTGTAACTCGTTGTCCAGGGACCCCTGCTTCTGCACCACCTCCAACCCAACACTGTCTCCGTACCCATCACGTTACATCCAAGAACCCTATTCACACACATCTTTCACTTCTCCTACCTCATCCACCAATTCAAGAACTCCTGATTGCCCGTCCCTATTTCTTTCCACACTGAGCTCTCTGGGCCTAGTAACTTTATACTGGCCTGTTTTTCCGGGTACCTTATACCTGGTGACCGCCAAGTCCCCACCCCGTATTATCCCAACGGCTCTGTCTAGTGGCTGGTGCACTATGGCCTGGATACAACTAACAAAAACCAAACTGAAGCCGGCGTTTTTCAATACTATAATGCGATATATGCCGATGTGATGACGTGCCCCACTGCCCACCAAACGCTCACGACAACATCGCGGTACGCTCTTGCTTGACACGGTGGCCCACACCAATGATTAGTCGCCATTAAGCCATAATGCACTCACTCTGAATATCAACATTCCATTTACGCTGTCCTATTGATAACTGTCATTTTTACCTGCCTCCACCTCGACCTGCCTCTACCACCGTTAGTTTGCTGTTCGACCGTCCGAATCAGCTGAGTTGTCTTACTAGCTCAGCTTTCCTCCCGACCGGAAAAAAGATATGGTAGCTGGAGTGTTTTAATAATACACAAGCTACGTTTACGACTGCTCTGTGGTTTTCCACCGTGCAGATCTGGTGGCATGCATGAGGGATAAACACCTCGTGTGGTAGTTGGGCACGTCCTGCAGGTAGGGACGCCATGTTGCGTTACACCATGGTGCGCTCGTGTATCAGCGTTCGTATACAGTGTGAGTGCATCGCCCACCGTCGGCGGTGGTGAACCTGGTCTCTACATCAGAAAATCCACAAGAGTACCACTGTTTTCCGTCCGTCGCAACAGATGTTGGACTCCTCCAGGTTGCGTCATTTATCTGGCAGTGGCATAAACAACAGATGGTAAAATACTGAGCATTCGTCTGTCAATGAAGATTCTTTAAAAACATATGAGATAGTCTGAAAATACGTTGCGTTGCCCACGGCCCAGCATGTTATTCTGTAGCTGCCTTCGCCATGGTTTAAGTGGCACCGCACCAAAGCCCACCTCGTCAGTCGAGCAAAACAATTCTATTTACTACTTCCAAGAGTGGATACACAAAAAAACTGAATAAGACATACACAATGAAACTCCCGGACCCTCCGCTGCCAGCATACAAGGCTAGTGCCCAAAGGCTTTTTTCGCCACATACCACTCAGGAACTGGTGTTCATCATTCTTACTGTCAAACGCACAGAATAAACCCTGGAAAATTCACTCAACCATCTAGGAAACCTTGCTCCTTTCCATGCATGTGCTTGATTTCCTTTAACACATATCGTCTCTGCGTGCTCACAAAGTTCTTTCTGTCTCTGGTACTATAATAGTTTATGTTGACAAGCTTACACAGTCATTGATTGCTAGGCTACTAAATACACATTTACCCCAATCCCGCCTCATTTAAGCACCAACTTTATTATGGTAGACGTTCAGTTTTTTCTCTGCTTTTAGACTTAATCGGCATAGGTGGAGCTACTCAGAAAATGGACAGTCACTGGAATGTATATGTACCAGTTAGAACCTCTGCGAACGGATGTTTGTAGCCGTTTCTAAATGGTAATCCTAAGCCCTGGTAGGACTCTGTAATTATTCAGAGGGTCAAAGGATGAAACGAAAGTTCAACATGAAGGGATAGATTGAGCGCACCAATCAGACTAACACTAAGATTGATTTCCCCGACACCGTGGGGTTTTCGAAGTTCGGGATTTTACATGGAGAGAATCCAGTCCAACTGCGCCTTTCAGTGGAGCTACCCATAGCTGTTTGTTTAAGTGCGCAGACCCCCAAGGTCACCAAACACCGCAGATCCGTATGTAACCACCAGTTTACCGTCTGCAAAGTACGCTTCTTGCCATTTTGGTTGAAAACGTCGAGTCCAATGGACAACATTGTTACTCAAATGACCCCCACTAATTTTTCCATCACACTTCGAATGAGTTGGTGGTTGTACTCTTTTCCATAAAATTTTATGTAGTAGTCGAACGTTCTACTGAAGTCGTGTTTACGGTCATCGGTCATCGGTCATTGTCGGACCGTTTGGAAATGATGAATGTTCGACAGAAATTTTTGTCCACATCTACATATACATATGTGGAGAAATGCCTCATTTCGTGCGCATCTACGCAGGAAGTACAGAAGAATAATCATAAGACATCAACAAAATAACCAAAATGCAATATCTGGATACTTTCTTGTTTGGATTGTTGAGCGCGGAATTCGCGGACGACCAGTGGGCACCTTGATCCTATCCAGCACTTTATTAATGAAATTGCTTCTTTTCCGATATTTAATTGCTCTGAACTCTGTCTCTCAGTCAGAAATAGGCATGCTATTTTGTCCCTGGGTTTGCAGCCCAACTAACTTGATGAGGAGGCAAAGATAAAAGAACCATCTCGTGCACAGATTTACGAGGTCTAATAAAGGGTAAGGTAATTGTTTTATACTGACACTTACTGTTTTAGAAGCTATGTACTCCGTCGTCACACATTCGACTGTCATAGCGGATTCTATAGGGAAAATAGTTCGGTCTATGTTTAAGGAAGTATTTGATCGAACTCCTGGAAACCGAAAACTTTGACGTGAAATGACCATCTTTAGGCAGCTTGACCGGTTACTGTTATCATTACATTTATATTTTTGCACTTACCTCGTTATTCTTTAACCATACAGCAGGTTGTCGTAGACACGACGTTGTTAATGATTAAGTGTGGCGTTCGGCTATAGTTCAGATGCCATAATGTTAGGTGGTGAGACCGATTACTATGTGATGCGGTCAGTTAGCTGCACATACGCCTCAGTCAATTTGGGGATGCAACTGTTAGCCTCACCCGGCTGCAGTGGGTCTTGAACACATTTTGAAAAAAGCCAACGAAGTTGCACTAGCGATTTTTGACTTGCCACCTTTGGCCAAGCGTAGCCGCCGGTAAAAAAGCGTAACGTGCCACACTTATTGTCGCCCTTCGCCACCCCTGGTCACCAGTGGCGTGTTTGCTGGAGCATGCATTGTTTTTACATTAGATGCTTATTGTAAATGCCAGGACATTGTTTATGAGCTTGCTGGTTGTGAAGCTTAACTGTGCATATCAGCCTAATGTGATGATAAACCACGTCCCCTCATCATCTCGACCGTATGTGCTGTCGCCCCGCTAAGCCGCGGCTGAAAAGTAGAAAGCCACCATTGGAGAAGTGTCTTTTCATTCGTTTGTTACACCGGTATAATTGTAAATGGCAGTCACTCTGTTTTGCTTTCTGTAAACCATTTTTATTCCACGAAGTATCTGGAATGAAGATCGTATTATCGGTTTAATTCCATTCATATATTCGCTGAAACTACCTTAACATTTTACTGTCATCAAGGCAAACATACCACTTGCTGAATTATCATCGTTGTTAATGACGAAGAAGCCATGTACTCACTGATGTCACGATGTCGAGATTCAGTGGTCGTACGCATTACTGGATGCACAGAAGTTCAAGATGAATAGACGCGTTTGCAAGACAGTCGTAAGCTCAAGTGGTAACTCTAACCCTAGGGTTCATGGACATCTTGCGTCTTCATATATGTACCCATGAATGCGCAGGGGTTAAGGGAGTCTCTGGTAGACGGAAAGAACCATTATCTTCAGTCAGATATAACGTCACAAGTATAACTATCCAAGGAAATCTTGACTCACATTTCACAAGTGGAAATTTCAAAGGTCCATATTTTGTTAAACTGTTATACCAAGAAGAAAACGTTCTACTTTCGTGGTATTTCAAACCTTCGGTGGGCGCAATATTAGCCCACTGACGTAGATTGATATGTCTAGTGTTTGTAGCTAGTTTTTTCACGTAAGAATCTAGCGATAGCCAATATGCTTCAACGACCAGTCACACTGTAGTAGCTGCTTCGGTGTGTCACAGAGTTTAAGCGTGTGCGTGTCCCTACTTACGTGTTCTTCTGACTTACACAATCCTAAGGCTCTGGTATCGCTCAGAGATTCAAGTTCAATACAAGGGTACAAAAGGAAAGAGAATCCATTACGGATTTTGTAGCGGAATTACGGAGTCTT